AAATTCCAATGAACGATCATAAAAAATAAAAAATTGAAAACATGCTCTCAAATGTATTTTATTTAACCCAATCAATATAGGTTGTCCATTTTAGTGAGATGCTGAGATCTAAGTCTTAAAAGGATTTTTTTTCTTCCAAACTTTTTAGATAGTTTTCTTGTCATTAGACCATTTATCTTTTGTACAAAGTGGTCACAACTAATCTTTACCTTTAGATGTGAAATTGGGTGGTCACATTTATTCCATTGACCAAGCACAAAGTTCAAAAGAAATTTTCTCGAACTTTGTGATACACTCAAGCTACAAAATTTCATATCGGATGGTTATAAGCAATTGTGACTTCCTTGTACAATAGGTAAATGGTTTCATTGTATACAATCCCATATATATATATATAGGAAAAGTTTATATAGAGCCTAGGCTCTAAACAATCAAATTGGAGCCGACCTTAAAATTTTCATTAGAAGAGGTTGTTTTGATGCCCAAATATCATCAAATTGATGATCTCGACATCAAGATGCATGGATATGAGAAAAAAAAGGATTTCAAGTTTTGGCAATAGTGCATCTTGTAACGCATTTTTGGACCGTCAATTTTCAAGATTATCAAGTTTTCATAGATCTGCTTGATCTACACTATTTTTGAAGTTTTAAATTTTATAACTAAATATGAAAATATAATTTAAGGCTATCACAAAACTTTCTAGTATTGAAACCATTTTTCTCGACACTATTTGAAGGTGGGCTTTAATTTGATTGTTTAGAGCCTTGGCTCTATACAACCTCACCCTATATATATATGGGTGTGGTTTCTATAAGGCTGCAACCTTAAACAATCCAATTAAGGCGCACCTTAAAATTTTATCATAAAATGTAATTTTGTTATAAAAAATTCTTAATATTATCTTAAAATATATTTTCGTACCTAATTAAAAAATTTTAAATTCCAAAAATGGTTAAAATCAAGTAGATCTATACATATATGAAAATCTTGAAAATGGACGGTCTAGATAATGTGTTGCAAGATGCACTATTTCCGGGACTCAAAACTATTTTTTTTTCTTGATATACATACATCTCGATGTCGAGATGATCGATTAGAGGGTTTTTTCAACATTAAAACAACATTTCCGATAGATTTTTTAGGTGCATCTGTGATTCTACATTTTAAGGTTGCAACTTTATAGAAAAATTTCCCTATATATATATATGTGGAAAAACCTAAAAAACGCCTATAGCAAGTCCGTGGCGGTTTATTGAACGAACTTGCAATGGACGGCGCGATGTTCGTTGCGCCTCGTGATTGTTTGACCGCCACAGACCTAACATGTTCCTGGCAGCCACGAACATGCTAGGTCCGTGGCGGTCAAAAAATGCATGGCGTCCTATTTTTTCAGACGGCGATGGGCCTATGGGCAAAATC